TCTACATTCAGACGTAAATCGGTGTTTTCATACATTACAGTTTACGTTTACGTTTTGATTCTGCAAAACTGTCTTCTGCGCTTTTACGAACGAAGTTTCTAAGTTCAGATCCCTTTAAAACTGCGTTTAGACGTAAACTGCGCAAACTGTGTTTAGACGTAAAACTGTGTTTTTGACGTAAACTGCGTAAACTGTGTTTAGACGTAAAACTGTGTTTTAGACGTAAACTACTTTTAAACGTAAAACTATGTTTAGACGTAAAACTGCGTTTAGACGCAAACTACGTTTAGACGTAAAACTACGTTTAGACGTAAAACTGTGTTTAGACGCAAACTGCGTTTAGACGTAAAACTACGTTTAGACGTAAAACTGTGTTTAGACGTAAAACTGCGTTTAGACGCAAACTGCACTGCGCTTAGACGCAATCTGATCTTAGACGCAAACTGCGCTTAGACGCAAACTACGCTTAGACGCAATCTACATTTAGACGCAAACTGCATTTAGACGCAAACTGCGTAAACTGTGCTTAGACGCAAACTGTGTTTAGACATAAACCGCACTTAATCATAAGTATTCTTAGAATCGGCTTTTGCATCAAAATAGTTTTTATCAAACGAACGCAGCTTTCATTTTTTAATCGCTGAAAGATTTTCGCTGCACTAATTCACCCCCTCCCTCTTAGTGCTCTCGATCCTAACAAGTTTCTCCTCGAGTCTCGCTCTAATCGGATTCTCTTGGATAACTCTTTCTCTCTTAATTCGACCTTGGCCAAGGATTTGTTTGAGCAAGAATACATGAGATATTTCTCTCATGATACCAAGAGCAGATGATTATCCATCGACACTCAATAGCTCTCGTAAGGTTGGCTGTCACTCTTAATAACCAGTTATACTAGATTTGGAACTTCTAAACCTATAATTCCGGTATCAAAAGGTAATGTACTCATATAGGACATCCTTGGTGTCTCAAGTCTAATGACAAGATACACTACTAGGACTACAAAATTATTGTCTGATAATAAGGCATCATCAACCATCTAGTATTCCATGAGCGGATCAATCATTGAACTCATTTTCCAATATGCACATGCACTGTATCCTTAGTATCCCCACATGAGCAGCTATAAGACTAGCTACCTCTATCATATGAACGGGTATATAACACACCAGTATATCCGGTTATCTCAATGTCCCTTTTAAGTAACCTATGACCGAGATTATTTAGGGTCTATGTTTAAAGACGAATCAGTCTCATTATCATGATCGCATCACGATCTGATTCCCATTGCATAAATCCACGAACATCACAATATATATGCATATATGCAACAAACAATATAAAGTGATAAAAATATTAAAATATAATAAGAAAAAAAATACGTATCATATCACACGTACCATTACTCACGTGATTGGCTTGCATGACACCTATCACTACTATATAGTAGAGAATTCTTCGCTGAAATTACACTAGGAAGCCAAACTTTTAATACATGGTTGATGCACTGTCCACAATCCATTCAATCTGAATTGATTCATTAATAATTTATTTTTTAAAAAATATAAATAATTTTGATTGAAAGTATTCTTTGATGGTTTAATTAGTTAGTTTGGATTCAATTGAATTGATTTTAATTTAAAAAATATTAATCTATGTCCTTTGTCGATTCAAATCGATCAATCAAACCAATCCGAAGATAAAAAAAAACCTCATGATTTAAATTGATAATCAATTTAGGCCTAGAAATAATTTTAATATTATAATTTCATAAATAATATGGGCTCAATTTCACAAATCTCGTTATGTCTATCAAATTAACTAAGATTCTGATTCAACTCAATCGAATCAAATTGATTTATTTTTAAATTATTTAAAATTATAGACTAATTAATTAAATTAAATTAATTGATTTTGAATCCATTTAGTAAGATATGGCCAAATTGATTTTGATTTAGACCTATCTTATCTTAATCAAACTAAATCATAAATCAATTCAATTCAATTAGATCCTTAACGGTTCGGTTTGAACCCATTTGAATTGAGTAATTTAGAAACTAGAAACTAGTTTTATGAGAAAATATTTTCTTAGTTTTTTTAGCAAACATATTTTTCGTACTTAAAAATGATTGATTAACCAAATAAATAATACATAAGCAACAGATGTGGCAAACATCAAGTTTTTTGTTTTCTGCTAATGAGAAAAAAAAGCTGAAACAATTTAAATTAGGCTTTAGTTACTAAAACAGAATATTTTTCTTTATCAAATAATCATTAGAATTTGGCATGCGGGTGGCAATGAAATGGGACCCCAAAACGAACGAAAGCCCACCAAAGCTTATCGGGTTTCCATGCCCACGACTAGTTCGAATCCGACATAGACAGAGCTCACACAGGGATCCGAATCCAACTCCGTGTTTCCGATCCGATTGGCATTATCCGACCCCTGAGAAAAGCTTAAAATTTCAGGGTCCGCGTCACCTCTCCGAGCTGATGAGTATAGGTATTGGGTCACCTTTGGGTCCATGAGACGACGCATCACCGCGGAAGGGCGAATCAACCCTCCGACATCAAAACAAAGAGACCCGCTCCGTGATCGATAACCGTCTGATCTCTGATGAGGAAGAAGACATCACTTAAACAAAGCGGCACCGTCATCCGCAACGACTCATCCCCTCTCTCTCTCTCTCTCTCTCTCGCTTCTATATACCACCGTCTACTGCAGGTTTTGATTTGGCTCCGGCGATCGCCCTTCATCTCGTTCCTCTTACTCGCTCCTACGACGGTAAGAACGATGAACGATTCTCTTTGCTCTGTAACTGTGAAACCCTAGACTTCGTTCTGTTTTATCTACAAAAGTTTTGATTGTCTTCGCGCAGAAGTTCTTTCTTTTCCTTCTGATGCTAATATTTGATTGTCTATGAACTTTTTATAATGATTCACCCACTTGATTTTACTGGATCCGCTAAACAGAATTAAATTATCTTATACGCATTAGAAATCTTATTCAAGTGTGTCTATGAAGTTTTTATGATGATCCATCCACCTACTTGATTTTACAGGTTCTGTTAATGGAAACACCAACCAACGGGATTCATATGGAGAAAGCTTAGTGGGTGACCAACATCAGATCCTCACGGTCAGGTTGAGGTTTTCTTTTTTCTGTTAAAATGTTATTATTCAATTATAAAATATTGTTATTTTCTTCACCAGCATCATACCCTGAATTGAATTTACAGAAAGTGCTAAGAGCAAATGAATGTGGTTTTAGTCGGCAAGCATTATTGGTATTCTTTTCAACATCTCGCATTGGTAATGCAGGAAAAGATTGATATTTTTGCCTGTCAACCTGCTTTTCCTGCTTCATCTTCTTCAATTATAGACCTTCTCTTGGTACCAAACACAGGCTTACCATCCAAAGTTAAGTCTTTGGCACCTTTGCTTCTCATGCTGAAGCAGAAGTCACATACCCTTCAGAGAATTCTACAAACACAAGCTCCAAAAACCTCAATGAGGACTTCACCTTTGGGGCCTTCACTTCTCAGACTGAACCAATAAGTACAGAACTTTCACAGAATTCCACAAACATCAGTTGAACAACCTAGATGACTACTCTTCTTGTGCTGAGGATAGAATCCTAGAATCTGAACTAGTATTCTCGTAGATATGCCACTTCTAAATCTTGACTAGTCTTCTCATCAAGCATTCATGTGCAATTCATTGACAATTGCCAACATTGGTCAGACATTATCTGATAAAAAAAACCAACTACAAATGCTAGCTTAAATACGCCTTATTGTGGTTGAAGCATCGAGTAAGAAGCTCTATGGCCTAAGCTTTGTTATTTTTTGAATATGATGTGAGATATGTCGATGATGTTCGAATCAGCTCGATTTGGTTCGGGTTTGCTTCTGCAAGAAATCTGCAGGCGGAGCCGAGAAGGTTTCGGATGCTCAACTAGATGTCGACCTATACAAAGACCAAGGTCGGATGGGATTCTCAATGTGGTCTCTCTGAGGCTTAAGTCAATATCGGAATGGAGTGAAAGTTTTTAGTAAATAGTAACTCACTTTGATTACTGTGATACGAAAAGTTTTTATTGTTGTTTCACTGAGAGGAATATTATGAGGCATAAGTAGAATATTTTTTTAGAATTTTATATTGGAATAATATCTATGTGGCTCAGTCATTGATCAAGGCCCTGTCCTCCCCTTGCTGACTGTGTTGTCATTTGTCGAGCTATGATTGAAGTGAATATATTTTCTATCAAATGGTAATGGTTGACATATTATTCGATATAGCACACCAATATGCCTGGTTCTCGAAAGTAGTATCAAACCTGTTAGGATCAAGAGCGGCACTAAGAGGGGGGGGGGGGGGGGGGGTGAATTAGTGCAGCGGAAAACTTTCGCGATTTCAAAAGTCTACGTTTCGATTAGAATCGATTTCGACGAAAATTGTTTCGTAAGGAGTTTAACTTGAAAGCGTATGTGAGTGTAGAGAAGGCAGTAAGAAGGTAATGTAGCTTGCAGTAATGAAACTTGCGCAAATTGAAAAGCAAACCAGAATTTATAGTGGTTCGATCTTTGTGACCTACATCCACTTTCGGATTCCTCCTCCGTCGAGGTCACCGGCGTCCACTAAAGGCCTTCCTTCAATAGGCGAAGACCAACCATCTCTTACAGCGCTTTCTCCTTTTCACGGGTTTAGGAGAGAACCCTTACAAGTCTCACACCTCTCTTGAATGATCTTAAAACTTAGAAAGGGAGGAGGAGAACTCTAGCACTTGTTTACAACACTTTTACACCCCAACAACTCAAGATTATCTCAATGCTTTCGTGACCTTTCATGAAGAAAATTATGGGATTTTTATAGGCCCCAATGGCTTCAAAAATGGAGCCAAAAAGTGGCTAATCCTGGATTTCCGGGGTCCTGGCGGTACCACCGTCATTATTGGGCGGTACCAACGCCTGACACCTGACACTGGGCGGTACTACCGCTCAGTCTGGGCGGCACCACCACCTAACAGAGCTCGGAGATCGAGCTCTGGCGGTACCACCGCCTAGACCACTTGGGGTGCTGCTTTCCAGGCGGTGCGATCGCCGACCAAGAATTTAGCATCTTGGTTGGGCCTTGACTCCGGCCTAAACCAGCCCAACTCGAGCCCAATTGGCCCTTAACAGAGTTGATGAGATTACCTCCCAAATCAACTCTAATTATCGTTCTAACTACGATTAAGACAAGCATGGTTCGGTACGTTGATTCTTCACTCGGCGATCTTCCGGTGAACTCCCGACCAACTCTCGGTTAGTCTTCCGGCGTGCTTCCGGCGATCTCCCGACGAGCTTTCGGCGTGCTTCCGGTGATCTCCCGATGAACTCTCGGCGAGCTCCCGGTATATCATTCGAGTCGTTGACTCCGGCCCATCATCTGCTTTATGCCTTACTGCTATCGTAGTTGATCCTGCACACTTATCTCAACACATGGATTAGATCAAATAATTTACCAATTGATTTCATCATCAAAATCCAAGATTCAACAAAACCGATATTTAAAACCTTTATAGCATCAAACAATTTTTTTATTAGAACATGGTATTATGGTAGAATTCCATATTCTAACTCTTGCCATATTTAGAAGTTTATATTCTCAGCATCCAAAATGGGAAGCAATTGATTGGTGGGAATGGAACTGAGTTGAGGCAAATTAATTATTTTTTGGAATGGTTTACTTGTGTAAAATGCAGTGCACAATTAGGTTAACATCTGGGCTAAATGCATAAAGTCCCATCATGAACAAGTCAATTTTCCTTTCATGATGGTCGTGTTGGTTGCTGAAAGTCCAATGATGAGCCTGAAAGGGGCCTTCAATTTGAACATTAGCTCTTTACATAAACATGTGAATCCAAAGTGGTATTTTTTGGAGAAGCAACATGCTTCTCCAAAAACAGAGGTGAGATTAACTTTCTCCAGACCATAAATTCTAATTATCAAAACAGAATTTTACCTCAAATACTCCTGCTCTGCATCTTTCTGATATCAAGAACCACAAGAGACATGGAAAACATGACACAAAAGTTGCTCTTTTCTGAAACATTACATGTGAAGGGATTTCAATGAGGACACGGATTTTTATAAACAGGAATTAGAGTTGGTTTACTGCCACAAAGAAGGCTACTGCTGCTGCTTTTGGACATATATCAAAGAACCACAACAAGCAACCCTGATAACCACGAGACATGGAAAACATAACACAAAATTGCTCTGAACTGAAACATTAAATGGCAAGGGATTTTATGAGGACATGAATTTTTATGCACAGGAATTAGAGGTGGTTTGCTCCAAAAAAAAAAAAAGGCTACTACTGCTGTTTTTTTGTCATCAAAGTACAAGACGTAACCCCGATAACCGCAAGAGACACGGAAAACAAAACACAAAAATTGCTCTAATCTGAAGGATTTTAATGTGGACATGGATTTTTATGTACAGGAATGCGAGGTGGTTTGCTGCTACAAAGAAGGCAACTGCTGCTGCTTTTGGTCATCAAAGAAGCACAAGAAGTAACCCTGGGAACAACCTTCTTCGATATGGTTTTGCTGCAATGCCCAGGAGAATGAGCAGACTTATGGCTTGAATCCATTCCGCCAGCATAGCTCCTGCATGCCTTCATCTTCCTTCTGTAAGCAGTCTCTTTCTTGGGCAGATCTTCAATGCTGTTAACCACAGAGAGCGATGTATACGATTGCGACTTGCCTTGGTAGTACTTGGACAGCCCTCTCCTACATCACCCAAATCCAATTGCAAGTTAGTCTAATGTATCTATTTCCTACTTCCATTAAGAGTTCATACATCTTTTCAGATCATTAACAGACTCACTTGATAGGTAGCTGCTCCATTAGTGAAGGCAACTCATACAGAGGTCTATCAGAATTCAGGTGGGGTGACAGCGACGAAGGATCTGGAGTTGAAGGCGTTTCATCTTCATCATCGGAGTTGCTGGAGAAGGGGTCAGAATCGAATAGCTCTTCGTCATCTTCGTCACGACGTAAGTAAACTCCATGACACCTTTGCTTGAGACCTTCAACCATGTCCACTCTTGCAGAGGGAAACCTTAGAGATGGTTTGAGGGAGGTGATGCAGTGGATGCTTTCTTTCTACCTGATCTCTTTTAACCCCTTAGAGATGGTATGCCACGATATATAGCTCATAGATCTGATCCCACCAGGGAACATTTCTATGTGCTTGTGGTTATTTTAATGGTGACCACTGTAGCTTATTAGTATAAAATATGTGGATGGAATTTAAATCAATGGCTCATCAGCGTTATCAATTTCCATACCTTGGAAAGCCAGACCTATCATGTGACTTCCGGACCTCATGTGGTGGTGGTGCTCCTTTTGACATGGTCTCTCCTTGTCTCGAGCATTCCACGTTATCTTATTAATACTTGGGTGGCAATGGATAAGTTCCTATGAGTAGGATTCATCCATATCCTTTCATGCCTATCTCTTTTCTCTTTCTCTTTGCGGTCTCATTCTGCCTTTGACCACCACTTCACACTGTGTAGGGACAGACAAGTTTAGTGGGCATGTCTCCTTGTAATGGGTATGAGCCATCTGTCTAAAATGGCTTTTATTCTGCTGACATCTTCTGTTCTTAGACTGATGGGATTAGGGTGGGTCAGCTGGGAGATTACTTTTGTCCCACAAAGATAGCAGTGTAAGCTGTGGAAGACAAATTCCCTTGTCTCCTTGAGCTTTCTAGTCACCAAAAGCACTACCAGTAGGGCAGCCTCAACCTTTTTCTTTTCTTCCTCCCGGCTAGGTTTAGTCTGGCTATCAACAAGATTTATCAAACCTGTGGAATTAAGCCTAAAAAATGTTTTTCCTTCCCTGATTCTTGTTTACTACATGAACTATTTTTAATTTTATAAATCCGATAAAAAGAAAAAGTATGTACTAATGTCAAACTTACTTTTGACCTCTCTAATAACATCTAATATGATTAACATGAACTAAACACAAGTGTCGATATAGGATTCGAATTCATGATCTGTTTTAATGTCGTCTTAAATATTTGTCTTAAAAACTAAACTATTAGGAAAGGACCAATATATGCTTTACACATGTCACATTTCTTTCAAATTCATCAAATCTTACTTCTCACCACCATCTATCCAGGTCTCAAGCATCTAACCAGGTCTCAAGCATCTGTCAGGGTTACCCACCCAATCATAACTTGGTATCCACTGTGGATGGATGCTCAGGATTGCATGGAGGAGGTCCCAAGCAGGCGAGGGGGAGCCCCAGCGGGATCTCCTAGTTGAAAACCATGGCACATGGCATGGGTGGTGGGAGTTGATCCCTTTGGTGCGGAATAAATAGCTAAATGCTGTGTACATATAATATATTATATATGTGGATTCCATCCTTAGCCTACAAGGATGAAGGCATAGATGATGGATGCCAAGGATTGGACCGCCCCGATCCATGTCCCTCTTGTCTCTAATTTGTGATCAGACTCCAATACTATAATAGCAGTCAATACAATCTGATGTTGAACCATGTTTGGACATTAACAAGTAACGATTGCAATAGCTGGTCCTGTTGTACCTAAACTAGTTAAATGTTTTATATGATTTATCCTCGAGCGGCCACCTTTTAGTGCATTTATTCACATGAATTCCCACATTAATGATGTCTCTATTACCTCATGTTCAATCCTTTTTTTCTTTTTTTGTATCTCTTTCTTTCTCCTTAGAGGAAGAAAATAATATTTGATTAAATATAGTACAAGCAGTCACAATTGGATGCAGAAAACATACAATTTCAAGGTGTTAGACTTACTTAAGTCCTGAGTTCGAATTTTATCTTCTATCACTTAATAATAATAATAATAATAATAATAATAATAATAATAATAATAATAATTTATTTTTTTCTATTGAGTGTAACATATTATATTTATTTAAAATCCAAGGTTTGAATTTCATCTAATAATTTTTTTATTAATGATAGAATATATATATATATATATATATATATATATATTGTGGTTTTGATAAAACATTCGAATTTTCATCTTCATTATCTATTTATTTTTTTTAAAAATCTTAATTTTATAGTTTGTAGAAAAAAAAAAAGAAAAATTGCATCAATGTTTACTCTCCATAAAGCATGACTTGTTATTATTATATAGAAGTCAAAGACGTGAAGTCTTGCAAACTTTGTGCTTCATCTGACGAAGGCAAGGGAGGAAAACTGGCTCATCTACTGGTGCCTCTGACTGAGCCTAATCTTGTCGTAAGCATGATTTGACCTTACCAAGTCACAACTGCAAGACTTGACCAGTTTGGATGATCTCGTTCCGACCCAACCTAATTGATCAGACACCCCGAGATGGCCTGCTGGCGGGTCAACCCTTCTTCATCCATAACAAAGTAATTCGAGATAAATGATAAATGAGAGGTATTAATTAGTTTAGTTAATAAAAATTTTAATATTTCTTTATTATAAATTTATGAATTTAAATCTCAACTTCATCACTTACCTTTATATATAAATAAAACTCAAGACAAATATATCAAACACACACAAGTGAAGATTAATTAATTATATATATATATATATAATTTTATCAAATTAAAATATATGAAATAAAAAAAAAACTTAATTTTTTTAAAAAAATTGTTAGATAATATTTTCTTTGTAATTTTACATCTGTCCCTTTTTTAGCTAAACTAAAAAAATGTAATTATAACTCGGTAAAGAAAGATAGAATTAGAAGATCATAGAAATTACGTCACCATTTGCGATCTTAAATTTCAACCAAGAACGAGAAGAACGAGAGGTCGGCACCCACACGAGGAGCGACGGTTGCTTCCAATTCGAAGCCGAAAGAGTTTACGGCGTCACTAGACGTGCGTTCTCCGCCGTCGATCTTGTGGGCCCTGAACGCTCGATACCCGATCAGGACCGTTAAAGGACACGCGTATTCAATTAGGTAATTCGGGCTAACTCCGTGGGCAAAAAAAGTGCGCCTGTGGAGGAAGAAATTGACCCAAGGCGTCCCTCCCTTCTCCACCGTCTATCTCGTGGGTCCCAAGCGTCGGACATCCGATCACGACCGTCAGACTCGCCCTTTCGACGTTCGTCGGGTCCTGTTCGGTAATTACACATAAATCTTGGGGGCGAAAAATTACGCCCCGAGGAGGAAGAGATCGCGGCAATCGCGAAAGCCGGACATGAAGGAAGGGCACGTCTTCAATCGGGTTGAATGGGCGGTGGAGCGAGCACTTGAGATCCGCTCTTCCCTCGCCTTCCCACCCCGCACTAAATTTAAAGCGCGGGCGAGCCCACGAATGAGCGCAAGCCAAAGAATAAGACGAAGGAGAGAGAGAGAGAGAGAGAGAGAGAGAGCGAGAGCGAGAGCGAGAGACGCG